TCAAAGAAAGTAAAAAAAAATAATGATCTGAAGAGAAATTAATGAAGTAGAAAACAAAAACAAATAGAGGATTGATAAAAAGCCCAAAATCAGTTCTTTGAAAATAACCAGTAAAAATAAAACTTTTTATGACAAACTCAATCACCAACATCTATAAAGAAAAATTATCATTTTGGTTATCTATTGTTGCATAATTAATCTCTCCGAAACTTAGTGCCTTAAAACAACAACTGTTTTATTATCTCACACGGTTTCTGTGCATCAGAAATGTGGGCAGAGCTCAGCTGGGTGTTTATGGCTCAGGGTTTTTCACGTAATTGTAAACAGATGGTGGCTGGAGCTATAATACTGAGAGTGAAGCTGGACCATCTTGAGACCAGCTGGGCATCTCCCTCTCTCTTTATGTAGTCTCAGGGCTTCTCCATATGGTTTCTCCAGATGGGTTAGTTTGAACTTCCTCACAGCATGGAAGCCTCTGAGCAGTGAGACTACTAACCTAGTAACTCAGGGGCTGTCTTAGCCTATTTTGTGTTGCTATAACAAAATACCTGAGACTGGATAATTTATAAAGACCAGAAATTTATTTTCTCACAGTTCTAGAGGTTAGGAAGTCTAAGATTAAGGCTTCATGGCCTGGTGAGGGCTGCTATCTGCTTTTAAGATGGGACCTTGTTGTAGCATCCTCCAGAGGGGAGGAATGCTGTGTTCTCACCTGGTGGAAGGTGAAAGGGAAACCTAGTTGACCACTGTGTAAAGTCTCTATTGTAAGGGCCTAAATCCCACTCACGAGGGAGGAGCCCTCATGGCCTAATCATCTCTTAAAGGTTCCACCTCAATGTCTATCACATTGGCAATGCCTGACTTTTGGAGGGGACACGTTCAAACCGTTCCAGGGGTCCAGAGTAAATGTTTCAATGAACAGGGTAGAAGCTGCCTTGTTTTTCTCTGGCTTAGCGCTGGAAGTTATGCCCAGACCAAGGGGAGAGGATGCAGGCCTCATTAATCAGTGGGAGGAGTGTCAGGTTACACTGTAAGAAGAGCATGTGGAACAGGAGATATTGCGGTGACCATCTTTGGAAAATACAATCTGCCACCTGCTTCATGACCAGATTGGATTTATTTTAAGAATGAAAAGCTGGTTCAACATTAGAAAAATTCATCAATATAATTCACTGCATTATGAGATATATAGAGAGAATTAAATGATTCTCTCAAAAGAAATGGAAAAGGCATTTGATAAAATTTAAAGTCCATTCATGATTCAAAGGTTTTAGCAAACTGGAAATAAAAGGAAATTTCCTTACTATGACAGCATTCTGTAGGTCCTAGCCTATACAGAGGCAAGCAAAGAAAAAAAGGTGTAAGAATTAAAAAAGAAACCAAACTGACTGGATTGTTCATGTAGAAATTCAAAAGAGTCTATTATAATTTAACTTACAAGATAATTTATCAAGTTTTCTGGAAAAAAATCAATATTCAAAAATAATTTTATGTCTGTATAAAGACACCAAATGGAATAATAGTAAAAATTACCAACAATAGCATTAAAATATGTAGTAAGTATGAATAAAATTAACAAAAGATGAGCAATACTTCCATAGGGAAAGCTATAAAATCTTGAGAAATATTGATGAAGTCTTAAACAAATGGAGAGAATTAGAGAGAAGCAGAAGTCCAAGTACTGAGGGGCCTGAAACATGAAGCCTGCAAAGAAGCTGTCAGAAAGAAGTAGAACCAAAGAGTGGTTTCCTGGAAGCCAAATGAAGAAAGTATTTCACGAGGAGAGTGACCACCTCCATCAGCTGATGCTAAGAGTCCTAGCGACGTTTGGGAATTACTGAAATTGGCCAGACAGAAGTCATTGGCGACGTCTTCCTTGAAAAGAGATGATTGTTATGGGCAAGTTCTCTCCAATCTTCAAGAAATCCATGGTGCTTAGATTATTTGAGGTGCTTCAGAACATAGAAAAAAATTGAATGCTCATGATTTCTGCAGAAAACTAACATAAGCCTAATTTTACAAATGCTAAAATGAGACAGAAAGATAAGCGTAGGTTAATCTCTTTTATTAAAATAGATGCACATACTCTAAATAAAATAAGGAGTTTAACAGAATATTAAAAGATTAATATATCATCAGCTCAGATTCCGAGATAATTCTCAGAAGGCAAAGTTTGATTTGCTTCTTTAGAAAGCAGAAACATTCTATAATTATATTGTTAGATATATACACTTACTTTCCACCCATTCTCCCAATGTTATATCATAAAATTTGGTTAAATCAATTTCTAGTACTTACATTATTATGACTATGTAAATATCGTTCATAGATGAGCCACGTAGTTTACTGTGCTTAAATGTTTTTCTAGTAGAATTTTGTTTATCCTGGGGTTAATAATTTATTATTATTTTTACTGGGTTTTCTATGTAACTATTATTATTTCATCCTTCAACTGACAGAACTATGAAAACTTTCAACACAATTATCTTATCATTTGCCCAATCAGCTCAGTTTTCCCCTCTTTTTTCATCCCTTTGCCTTTTTACATTGTGTTGGATCCCCAGGTTTTCCTTTTGTTGGTTTACTTTATTATTTTGGTGCAGCATATGCCCTCTAATATTTTCGCAAGAAAGTGAAAGATGCATAGGAGATAACTTTTTGAATTTGCTGCCAAGTTTTGTAGAGAAGGGGCAGGCAATGACTGCCCCAGCAACCATGGGGAAGAGAAAAGAACAGAACTCTAAAGGCTTTCGTCTAATGTATATTCTCACTGTTGCCTACAGTGCCCTTCTCTCCATTTTGCAGCCACCCACCTCCCCTACATATGCACCCCTACAATACAACCTCAATTCTGGTGAGAATGTAAAATGGTGCAGCCACTTTGGAAAACAGTCTGGCAATTCCTCAAAAAGTTAAACGTAGAATTACCAAGCGACCCAGCAATTCCACTTGTGGGAACATACCCAAAATAATTGAAAACAGGAGTTTAAACAAATACTTGGAAATGAATTTTTATAATAGCACTATTCACAATAACCAAATGGTGGAAACAACTCAAATATTCATCAGTAGATGAGTGAATGAACAAAACGTAGTCTGTCTATACAATGGACTATTATTCAGCCATAAAAGCAATGATGCACTGATACATGCTACAACATGGATGAACCTTGAAAGCATTAGGCTGAGTGAAATAAGCCAGACACAGAGGACAAATATTGCATGATTCCATTTATGTGAAATGTCCAGAATAGGGAAATCTATAGAGACACAAAGTAGATCCGTGGTTGCAAGGGGCTTGGGAAAGGAGGAAATGGGAGTGACTTAATGGGAATGAGGTTTCTTTTGGGGGTGACAAAATATTCTGGAATTAAATAGTAGTGATGATTGTACAACATTGTGTATGTGCTAGAAGTCACTTAATTGTATGCTTTTAAATGGTGAAAACAGTGAGTTTCATACTGTGTGGATTTTACCTCAATAAAGTAAAAAGGATCATACTTTACCATACCGAACACAGGAAATCTTCTCTAGGGGGCTTTATTTAGCTTGAGCTTTGCAATCAATGATACTATAACACAAAATTTTCCCTCCAGGCATATAAACCAGAGTTTTAATATGTCCTTAGAATTTAAGTAATCAGCAAAGTAGCTTAAAAGTTTCTGAAAATATCAATATCTTTAATATTTTTCTCTGCCTACACATACACACACACACACACACACACACACACACACACACTTTCTTACCTTGGTTTAGACAATTACAACCATATTGTACATACTGTATTATATTATATTAATTATATATTTCACCTAACTATGAATATTTTCGATGTCATTAGATATTCTTCCATTACACTATTTTTAATGGCTGCATAGAATTCTATAATATGTACAAGTCACATTTACTTAACTAATCTCCTGGTTTTGGACATTTATATTTCTTCCTAGTGTTTACTAGGACCTTAGTAAATAATGCTGCCACATATACCCTTGCACATAATCTTTTTGCACATATATCATTCATTCACTTAAAAATATTTCTTAAAGATATACTATGTGCCAGGCACTGTAGACAGTGGGGATATATGTATGAACAAGATAGACAAGGTATTTGCCCTCAGAGAGCTTACAGCTTGGTTGGGAGACAGATAATAAAGATATAAACATATAAGCATAAATAAGGAAGATATTTTCAGAAGTGTTATTGGGGGTCTGTCAGGTTCTTATTCACTCAATTCCCACAAAAATACATCACATGAAGTAAGATAAGTTTCAGGGTACAAAGGCAAATGTGTGCTTAGGTATGATGAAATTAGTTTTTATTGTCCAGAAATTTCCCCATGGGGCTTTATCTCCAGAAAATCCATAAGAGTAAGAGAATAAGCACAATCTGCAGGTAGCTCTATGTGCTTCCCTGTGCATGCAGTGGGCATGGGGGGCACCAGGAAGCATGGAGTGGCCTAGTGCTGGTTACTAAGCTGTATGACTGTAGAACTGTCTGTGTTGGACTTAGAGCTGGTGGCCTCGAAAGCCTTGCAGTGGTTGTTGAGGCAGAGGTGGTGTGAGACGTGGAGAGCTGCGTTTGTTCTGAAGGAAGGCTGCAAAGTGGCTTGGGGGTGGGTATGTATGCAAAGGAAGATTACTATGCACTTCCCAAGGCTTCCAGGTGGTATTTATCCAGTAATACCCATGTTCACGAGGCACGCAGAAACGTATCTGGCTCCCACATGTTCATTGCATGAATAAATATATGATAACCATTACATTTTAGCAAACACATTCAAAAATTTGGCCCGTGGCAAGTAAAGACACTTCTTAGAGCAAAGACTTTAAAGTGAAATACTTGAGTTAGTGGTGCTGTTGTTAAAATGCCTTGCAATTACCAAAATCACTTGAATTAGTATGTGCCCAAATATGAGCTGGTGGGCAAAGAGCATATGAATGGCTAGTGAAACAATCACGGCTGTTAGTAAAAGGATCATGTAAACAACTAACCTGGGTTTTCCATTGACATGAAGACAGTTTCTCCTGAGAATGGGAATAGGGTAAGTGTGTCTTCATAGACCATTTTGTGTCTGAATGTATATCCAGAGAAGAAGACAGAGAGGAAGTCGGTCTGCGCTCCAACACTTAGAATGTACCAGTATGCCACCTCATGCAAGCAAACCGACAACTGCAAGCCATCGAAAATGTAGCCATTGACGCCTGCAAAAGCAATGGGGAACAACAAGTCTAGCAGGATCCTCGATTCATTATTTTGAATTGTGGTTGTTATAATAAATTAGAAATTATTATATGTTATGCCCATTACCTTAGTCCCAAGAAGAGATAGCATTATACTTTGCAAAACAGGAGATTGTTAATATTTGATCAGCTGGGTCCTAATCCCAAAGTAAGGAGACAGTCATATACCATCATGGGAAAGATGGATTTGGTTGTGGGGAGTGGGGGCAGTCTGACGAGCGGCAGGACGTTTGCATGGTCTCAAGGTCTCTCCCTGGACTGCTTATTAACTGCAGAGGTGAAAATAGTAACTACCCCAAGGAGAAGCCTGACAAAACCTCGACCAGGTGATCAACGTTCACATCTGGTAATGCTGTAGATTCAAGGAAACAAGAGGCGGGAGCACCAGATGCTTGCACTAGATCCCCGCGCCGCAGGGAGGAAATGCTGTAAAAGACGGCATCGGTGGATACCACGAGAATAGCGACTGCCAGGTACAGAAAAGTGTTGTGTCGCTGTGAAGCGTCACTCTCGTTATGTACGAGAATGTCCTTATTCACAGGATATATGCAATGAAGCATTAAGCTGTAAAGAAGCATGATGTCTGCAACCTATTTTCAAATAGACAATAGGTACTAAAAGTACATATATAGAGAAAAGAGAAAATGATAAAGCAAATATAGCAAAATGTTAAAAACTGGTGAATCTGCATAAAGGGCATATGCAAGTTCTCTGTACTATTCTTGCACCTTTGCTGTAAGCTTTAAATTATTTCGAACTAAAGAGCTACACAAAAGTAACAATAGCTTTAGTCTATAAATAAAATTGCTTCTGAAAGCCTCTTCTCCACATCTGTCCATCCACCCATTCAATAAACTTTTGCCTATTCTGTTACTAAGTACTATGAAAGGTGGTGGTTTACAAATCCACTAAGAATGCTCAGACACTAGCTTAGGGCAACTAATTAAGAATCAAAGTTTCTTCCCCTATTCTGTATTAAGAGACGTTATAAAGCTATTGTAATTAAAAGTGTAGTCTTAATGCAGGAATAGACGGATATATCAAACAGAATATAGAGTTCAGAAACCAACACAGATACAAGCGAAAATCTATTACATGATAAAGGCAGCATCTCAAACCAGCAGTGGAAAGAATGAGCTATTTGGTAAATGATGACAGAAAAATACTGATGTGAAATGGTGTGAAATCTAACAAAAATAAATTCCACATGGACTAAATAATTACATGTCTTTTCATGAAATATGTGCACATTTTGGGGGGTACTGTTTTAGTACTAGAGCTGCCATAACCAAGTACCACAGACTGCGTGGCTTAAAAGACAGAAAGGTGTTTTCTCACAGTTCTGGAGGCTAGAAGTCCAAGATCAAGCTGTTGACAGTTTGGTTTCTTCTGAGGCCTCTCTCCTTGTCTTGCAAATGGCCACCTTCTCTCTTGTCTTCACATGGTCTTTCCTCTGCACCTGCATCTCTCTGGTGTCTCAGTGTGTCCAAATTTCCTCTTCTTGTAAGGACATTGGTCATATTGGATTAGGGCCCATCCTAATGACCTAATTTTAATTTAACTTCTTTAAAGACCTTATTTCCAAGTAGAGTCACATTCTGAAGTACTGAGGTTAGGGCTTCAACATATGAATTTAGGGGGGACACGATGCAGCCCATAACAGGTATACCTAGGACTGGATTTACTGAGTCAATAGGGTATGCATATGTTCAGCCTTACATACTGCCAAATACTTTTCCAAAGTAGTTGCATAAATTTCCATCCTTACCAGCAATGTATGAGAGTTGTGGTTCCTCCACATTTTTACCAACACTTGGTATGGTCAGTCTTTTTAACTTTAGCCATTCTAGTATATATCGTAGTATCTGGTTTGTGTGTTTTTTTAAAAAAATCTGATACTATCTGTTTTATTCATTAACTTGCAGAACTTGTTATCTCAAATCGCTGGAATGTAAGCTCCCCCGAACTTAATTATTAGAATGGCAAATTCTTTATCTAATCTTTTCTAAAATTAAATTTTTAATTGACAAAAAAATTTGTATATATTTATGGTATACATTATGATATTTTGGTATATGCATACATTGTGGAATGGCTAAATGAAGCTATTTAATATATGCATAACCTCACATACTTATCTTTTTTTGTGTGGTGAGAATGCTTAAAACCTACTCTCTCAGCAATTTTAAAGTATATAGTAGATTGTTATTAACTATGAACACCATGGAGTGCGATAGATCTCTTGAACTCATTTCTCCTGTCTAACTGAAATTTGGTGTCCTTTGACCAACATCTCCCCAACTCCCAACCTCCACCCCTCATCAGCCTCTGATAACCACCATCTTACTCTCTTTTTCTATGGGCTCCACTCTTAGATTCCACATGTAAGTGAGATCAAGTGGTATCTGTCTTTGGTTTACTTCACTTAACGGAATGTCCTCCAAATCCATCCATGTTGTCACAAATGACACCATTATCTTTTTTTGTGTGGCTGGCCAGTATGGGAATCCAAACCTTTGACCTTAGTGTTATAACGCAGGGCTCTAACCAACTTAGCTAACCAGCCAACACTGATGTTCTTTCTTTTTTTTTTTTTGAAGGCTGAATAATATTCCATTGTGTATATATACCACATTTTCTTTATCTGTTCATTCATTGATGGACATTTAACTTGATTCGATATCTTGTCTATTGTGAATAATACTGCAGCGAACATGGGAGTACGGATATCTCTTCAACATACTGATTTCATATCCTGTGAATATATCCCCAGTAATGGGATTGCTGGATCATATAATAGTTCCATTTTAAATTTTTCGAGGAACCTCCATACTGTTTTCCATAATGGCTGGACTAATTTACTTCCAAACAACAGTGTGCAAGGGTTCGCTTTTTGCCACATCCTCACGAACACTTACCTTTTGTCTTTTTGATAATAGCCATTCTAACAGGTGTGAAGTGATAATCTCATGTGCTTTTGATTTGCATTTCCCTGATTATTAGTGATGGTGAGCATTTTTTTTCATATACCTGTTGGCCATTTGTGTACCTTCTTTTGAGAAATGTCTATTCAGATCCTTTGCCCATTTTTTAATTGGGTTATTTGGGTTTTTTTTTTTCCTATTGAGTTGCTTGAATATTAACCCCTTATATAGTTCTAATATTAACCCCTTATCAGATGTATAGTTTGCAAATATATTCTCCTATTCCATAGGTTATCTGTTCACTTTGTTGATTGTTTCCTTAGCTGTGCAGAAACTTTTTGGCTTGATGTATCTCACTTGTCTATTTTCACTTTCATTGCCTTTGTTTTGGCGGTCATATCCAAAAAGTCTTTGCCCAGACCAATGCCATAGAGATTCTTCCCTATGCTTTCTCCTTGTTGTTTTACAGTTTCAGATCTTGTGTTTGAGTGTTTTATCCATTTTGGGTTGATTTTTGTATATGGCGTAAGATGTGGGTCTAATTTCATTTTTATGCATGTGAATATCCTGTTTTTCCAGCACCATTTATTGAGAGACTATCCTTTCCCCATTGTGTGTTCTTGGCATCTTTGTTGAAAATTAATTGACCATAAGTGAGTGGATTTATTTCTGGGTTCTCTATTATGTTCCATTGGTCTACATGTCTGTTCTTATGGCAGTACCATGCTGTTTTGATTACTGTAGCTTTGTAGTAGTTTTTTTGTTGTTTTTGTTTTGTGGCTGGCTGGTACAGGGATTGAACTCTGGATCTGCAGTAGATTTTGAAATCAGGCAGTGTGATGCCTCTGGCTTTGTTCTTTTTGCTCAAGGTTGCTTTGGCTCTTTGGGGTATTTTGTGGTTTCATACAAATTTTAGGGTTGCTATTTTTATATCTGTGAAAAATGTCATTGAAATTTTGATAGGGATTGCATTGAATCTGTAGATTGCTTTGGGTAGTACAGACATTTTAACAGTATTAATTCTTCCAATCCATAAACATGGAATATCTTTCCATTTATCTGTGTCTTCAATTTCTTTCATCAGTGTTTTATAGTTTTCTGTGTACAGACCCTTCACCTCCTTGGTTAAATTTATTCCTAAGTATTTTATTATTTTTTTGGTAGCTATTGTAAATGAGATTGCTTTCTTGATTTCTCTTTTGGATAGTTTATTGTTAGTGTATAGAAATGGTACTGATGCTTATATGTTGATTTTGTACCCTACAATTTTAACACATCTGTTTATTAGTTCTAACAAGTTTTTGGTGGAGTCTTTAGGGTTTTCTATATATAAAATCAGGTGCAAATCAAGACAATTTAACTTTATCCTTTCCAATTTGGATGTCTTTTATTTCTTTATCTTACCTAATTGCTCTGGCTAGGACTTCCAGTACTATGCTAAATAAGAGAGGTGAGAGTGGGCATCCTTGTCTTGTTCCCGATCTTAGAGAAAAAGCTTTCACCTTTTTTACTCATTGAATATGATGTTAGCTATGGGCTTGTCATGATATGGCCTTTATTGTGTTGACATAAATTCCTTCTAAACCCGATTTGTTGAGATTTTTTATCATGAAAAGATGTTGAATTTTTTCAAATGTCTTTTCTGTATCTATAGAGATGATCATATGGTTTTTGACTTTCATTCTGTTAATGTGATGTATCACATTTATTGATTTGCATATGTTGAACCATCCTTGCATCCCAGAGATAAATTCCACTTGATTGTGGTAAATGGTCCTTCTAATGTGCTGTTGAGTTCTCTTTGCTAGTATTTTGTTGAGGATTTTTGCATCTATGTTCATGGCCTGTAATTTTCTTTTCTTGTAATGTCTCTTTCTGGCTTTGGTATCAGGGTAAAGCTGGCATTGTAAAATGAGTTTGTGTTTTCTCCTCTTCAATTTTTTGGAAGAGTTTGAGAAGGACTGGTATTAGTTCTTTAAATGTTTGGTAGAATTCAGCAGTGAAGCCATCAGGTCCTGGGCTTTTCTTTGATGAGAGACTTTTTATTACTGACTTAATTTCCTTACTCATTATTGATCTGTTCTGATTTTCTATTTCTTCATCATCTGTGTTGTATGTCTCTAGGAATTTATCCATTTATTCTAGGTTATCCAATTTGTTGGCATATAATTGCTCATAATAGTTTCTTATGATCCTTTGTATTTATGTGGTATCAGTTGTCATGTCTTCTCTTTTATTTCCGATTTTATTTATTTGATTCTTCTCTTTTTCTTAGTTAGTCTAGCTATAGGATGGTTGATTTTATTTATCTTTTTGAAAGAACCACCTCTTAGTTTTGTTAATCTTTCCTATTGTTTTTCTAGTCTCTATTTCTGCTCTGATCTTTGTTATTTCCTTCCTTCTACTAATTTTGGCCTTCATTTTTTCCTTTCTTCTAGTTCCTTGAGGTGTAACATTACGTAGTTTATTTGAGATCTTTCTTCTTTTTTGAATGTGGATTTTTATTGCTATAAACTTCCTTCTTAGCATTGCTTTTGCTCTTTCCCATAAGCTGGATGTATTAGTATATTTTGTGTTGCTATAACAATACCCAAGACTGGGTGATTTACAAAGAAAAATGAAATTTATTGCTTACAGTTTCTGAGGCTGGGAAGTCCAAAGTCCATCTGATGGTAGTGACAGTGACCAGGGGTCTCACATTGCAAGATGGTGGAAGCAGAGAGAGCAGAGAGAGAGACAGACTCTCCTCTTCTTTTAAAGCCCTCAGAAACACTCCCATGACCACCATTTCTAATCCATTCACTACTGCATGGTCCTACAATCCAATCACCTGTTCAAGGCTCTACCTTCCGATTACCATAATAGGATTTCCCACCCTGTTAACAGTCACAGTAGGGGCTAAGTTTCTAACACATAAAATTTGGGGGACACAATTCAAGCTTCAGGGAGTTTTGGGGGGCATAATTCAATCCACTACATTCTGTCCCTGGTCCCCCAAAACTCATGTCCTTTTCACATGAAAATACATTCATTTCATTCCCAAAGTCTTAACTTGTTTCAACTGAAAAGTCCAAAGTTCAAAGTCCCCATCTGTGAAATCAATACAAGTTATGTACTTCCAAGATACAATGGTGGGACAAACATAGGGCACACATTCCCATTCTAAAAGGGAGAAATCGGCCAAAAGAAAGGGGTAACAGGTCCCAAAGAAGTCTGAAACCCAGCAGGACAGGCATTAAATCTCAGAGCTAGCAAATCAGGTACCTTGACTCCAAGTTCGACCTTCTCTTCATGCTGGTGTAGGGGTTGGGGGCCCCAAGTCCTCAGGCAGCTCTGCTCCTATGGCTTTCCTGTTCTCAGGCCACACTTCAGCTCTCCCAGGCTAGCATTGCATGCTGGTAGCTCCACAAGTCTGGGGTCTCCATGGTGGTCCTGCTCTCATGGCTCCACTAAACATGGTGCTGATGGGGTTTCCCTGCTGCAACTCCAACCCCGCGTTTCCACTTGGCATTGCTCTAATGAAGGTTGTCTGCAGTGACTCCACCCCTGTGATAGATCTCTTCCTGGGACCCCAGAATTTTCCATACATCTTTTGAAATTTGGGTGGAGGCTCCCAAACCTCCACAGCTCTAGCATTTTGCAAACCCACAGACCTAACACCACTTGGATGCTGACAAGACTTCCAGCTTGTATTTTCCAAAGCTGCCCTTCCAGCCACACCTGGGGCCAATTTAGCCACGGCTGGAGTGGCCAAAGCAGCTGGGGTGCTGGTGCTGGAAGCACTTCCCAAGGTGGTCCTGAGCAGTGAGCCTGTGGAGGGCTCCTCAAGCTTGTTCCCCAAGACCATTCTGTCTCTCTAGGCCTTTGGAACAGAAATGAAAGAGTTGGCCCCAGAGGCTTCTGCGATGCCTTCAGGGCCTTTTTCTCCTTCTCTTGATAACCCCTTTCCTTTGAACTAATCTTAGCTAAGGGACACTGGGCTGCACCATTGCATGCTCTCTGCTTCTTTACCACATGGCCATGCTGTAAAATTTCCAAATCTTTACATTCTGCTTCCCTTTTAAATTCTGGCTTCACATCAAGCTTTTGCTGCCATAACTCAGTGTAGGCTGTTACAAGTAGCCATGCAGCTTCCTTAATGCTTTGCTGCTTAGAAATTTCTTCCACCAAATGCTCTGGTTCACAACTCTTAAGTTCCAACTTCCACAAAGTCCTACGGCAGGGACACAATGCAGCCAAGTTCTTTGCCAGTTCACAGAAAGCCAAAGAGAGAGGCCTCAGGAGAAATCAACCCTGCTGACACCTTGATCTCAGACTTCTAGCCTTCAGAATTGTGGGACAACAAATTTCTGTTGTTTAAGCCACCCAGTCTGTGGATATCTGTTATGGCAACCCTAGCAGACCAAGACAATGTATGCACGTGTTTATACATGATTATATTATCTTGGAGAAAATATGTTTTGTAATGGGTTGCCTGGGGATGGAGTGGTTGGTGGAAAGTTGTGATATAGCAGAAGATGAAGAAATAAAAGGGAGGAGGCCACCAAGTAAATATTGAAAGGAAAAAAACGGTGACTGGATTTTTAAAATATGCATTATATGATCACACTTAGGCATTTACTTATACATTTATAGGTAACATAATTACTAAAGAAATATTACTCTTGCATCACATATAAATTCATTATCTGAACATCAGTTTGGTGGCATCAATGTCCCTTCATCCAATACCCACTGCTTTACTCACTGTGCATGACGTTGGAGGCTTGGAACTCTGGATCCTGGGGCTGCACTCCAGTTGCATTGGGGAGGAAGCGCTGCATATTCTCTGTGAGATACCAGCTCTGATTCTCATCAAATATAGAAAACAGGATGACATTTCTCTTGTCTGACATCATCTGTTAATTACATGTATTTAAAGGGGGAAAGAAATAGTACTGATATTGTCAGGTAGAAACTAGCAGGTTATGATGGAAGCAATGGCATGCTCATGATATATCTAATTCTTTGGTTCAATCCTATTTCCTTTTAGTAGTACTATTATGGTATGTACCAAGGCCTGGGAGTGGGGGTCGGTGCTACAAGCAGTGAGTATATGTTTAGAGCAAATGTGTCTTCAAGTCAAGAGGATGACTGAACCCATTAAACTTAATTTCTTCTGGATTCATGGCCATATGCTGGCTGATTTTTGGTACGGTCTGTAGCCTCATTCTCTCCACGTTCAGATCAGAAGATTTTAACTCTGTAGACCCAAGTGATTATTCAGTGTCTTTTTAAAACAAGTTAGTTAAGTCAAATAAGATTAATACCTTTCCTAACCTTCCTTCTCGCAACTGCCCCTCCAAAAAATTAAAGATAGAAAAACAAATCAAGTAACAAAGATAAGGCAAACCACAAAAATGTTGAACAACACTAACACCTTTTCTGTTTAAAAAATTCAAAATTTTTTTCAGAACAACTGTTTGCATTTATAACGAAATTTTTGTTGGTTACTTGCTAATTGAATCTGCTAAGATTTAATGTGTCAGCCTCACTAATATGTATAAATTTCATTTTACATAACCTGTAGCTGCAGAAATCAAGATGCTGAGGGGAGGAGATTAGAGAATATAGAGGTATATTTTAGTCCTCTTCCAAAAACTGGTGGAAAGACTACAATTAGAAAAAGATTGTCAGAGTATAGAGAAAAGAAAAAAAGAAAAAAATTGTCAGGACAAGTTCTTGGCCAAATTTATGTTTGTTTGGGTTTATGTATCACATGTTTTACCTGCATTAAAGTTTGCATGGTTTACTTTCTAAAGCAATAAAATGTTTTTAGACTAGTAGGAATCTTATGTAACATAAAAAACTAAATGAACATGTAGTCAAGTCTCAGCAACATGGCAATGAGTTATTCTGGAGCCAAGCAATGAGTTTTTGGGAAGAACTAAGCTTTTTTTATTCAGAGAATTAAGCTTCATTTTTTTTTTTTTTTTCTCCTTTTTGTCTTTTTTCGTGACCGGCAATGGATCGCAACCCTCGGTGTTGCACCCGTACCTTGCTCAGCCAGTGAGTGGCCGGTCTGTATGTGGGATCCGAACCCTCGGCGGGAGCGCAGCCATGCTCCCAAGCGGCGCACTGTAGCAGTGCGCCACCGGGCCGGCCCCTAAGCTTCATTTTTTAAAGCAGCAGAAGTGATCTAAATTCTAACCATATTCTGAAATATTTTCTATCTTTCCATGTATTTTGCTCAACAAATATCTATTGGCTGTAGGTATAAATTTGTGGGTCATTTCGAAATGGGTAGTAATTGAACATGTAAAGATGGGCAAGATCACATAAGAGAGCAAAATCCCAAATGGAGGATGGGAATTACAGAAAGAATCTAGAGCCTAGGCTCCCCTACCCATTCAGCGGAGAAGTTTATGACACCAAACTCAGATTCAGTACCAGCTAGGAAAAACTTGGGTCATTTCTTTTATTGGCTTATATTGCAGACTACTATATTTTCTGCAGGCGATATGGGGACATACACTGAGAAAGTATAGGAAATATCTGGAAGATTATATGCACCTCATTCCATTTTGAGCTTCAAACCCAGCACTTGGAAAGGGAAGAACTTACCTGGTTTCCTCGTTGATCTACAGATTCTTTGTAGCAGATGAGGAGAGGGCCAATCAGTCCTGAAGCTAGATCCCTCTCTGGATTAATGAAACTAGAGTAATATCTGGTCAGGCAGCGAGGATCTGATTTAGTTGGTCCATCTTCTACAGTCACTGTCCATTTATACTTGAATACTTCTCCCGGTAGAATTGGCAAATCCTTCAAGTGTTTTACACCTACCCACACCCAAACCGAGCAGTAGTTCAGTTAGAGTATAGCAAGCACATATTGGTAATCATCACGTTCTTATCGCAAGGTTTCTACAAATCAATATACACATAAGAAGTTTCTCAGTAAATGGAAACTAAAATTACAAGTTTGATTTACACAATTTTTTCCAATAAAAATGGGTCCAGGACACTTGCTAGCATGTTAATTTTTAGGTGAAATGGGCAGGTCTACCTTCTACCACAAATACATAAAATGCTAAGGACATTTAAAAATATATTTTAACTACATGGCTGAAAGTGTATAAAGAAAACCCCCAAGTGACAAAAAAATGAGAGACGTTAAAGACAGAGCGGTGATGATGAGAGTTGAAGGCCTGAAATTTTAACTCCCATATAGCATCAAGAGTTGTGGTATGTCACCCCTGTAAGGGCCATAAGCAAGAGCTGAGAACTGCCCGCAGGCTAATGGGTCCTCAGGGCAGGAAATGTATGACTTTAGCAATTAAACCTCACTTCTGAGTATGTTTAATCCCTCATGATCAAATCTAAATCGTCAGTATTTTAATTTTATATACATTCTCAGCTCTCTCTCACCCCATTGACTTAGGCCTGACCTATGGTTAGGGAACCCACATAAAGGGCACGGTGTGGTATATTTTTTCACTCTTCTCTCTTCCAGGGGCTGGGGATGATTGCAGGTGGGTATTAAAGGAAAGGGAAAATAGACTTTTGACTAATAGTTCCTCCTGTTTGAGTGCCCTGTCGTTGACAACACTGTTTGGTCACCAACACTTTTTATGTGGCAGGTGCCCTAATGCTATTCTTTTCATAGAACACATGCATAGCTTGTTTGGAGTCACGATAGGGACCTTGGCACTGCATAGTTCCAGGGAAGGTATCTTCAGAACAGATAACGCCCAGCTACTTGCAACAGTCTCCACATGGCACCCTTGTCGTGTCAAATACTGGAAGAGTAAAGTGCTTCCCCTGTCTTCTTGCCCACCATCATGGGCAGTACAGCCTTCAGAGTTCTCCACACAAAAAGCAGGTTAGCAGTCACTGGGTTCATGCACGCCTTCACATTTTAGGGTGCACATTCAAAATCTCCTCAGAAATCTGTCACTATGCCTTTCTCCCATAAAGAAATGCAAAGCATTAGAATTCTTATCAGGGACAATAAATACTAGAAAATAGTGGGTGGAAAATTATTTATAACCAGCCTATCTATACATCATGTAATAATGAAGGACTTAGAAAGTTTATCCTTTAGAAGTTACTTGAGGACATACTTCCCGAAAAAACAAAAGAAATAAAAAAAACAGAAAGGTACAAGATAAGGGAGGTAATGGCACTAACCCACAGGTCCAAAGAAAAAAATTCAAAGATAGCATCTTTGTAGCAGGCCTAGAAAGCATATAATACAAATTAAAACAATAAGTTGGTGAACCACAAGAACATCTTCAAAGAGGAAAAAAGATTTGGATACTAAGCAATACATCGAATAATTAAGAAGCTGAAAATCCTCAGAGATATGGTGAAGAAGTAGCCAATCATGAAATATAAAAAGCGGGTGTTTACTATACTTTTAAAGTTCTAATGATCGCCAGTTGAGGAACTGAAAACACTGGTAAAACTCTAAAACAACTGCAGTGGGAAGAAGCAAGATGCTAACTCTTCATTTACAAAATAAAGTAAATACATAATGCCTAAAATTGAAAAACAAAGAATTAGGACTATGAGTAATTTTTTAGAGATGTAGAGATAGCCACAAAAAAATCTAAAAGCGAAATGCTTAAAAATGGATGCCTCTAGGGAGTTGGACTCACAATTCCAAAATAATTTTTTTATTTTTAAAGATGACCGGTAAGGGGATCTTAACCCTTGACTTGGTGTTGTCAGCACCATGCTCTCCCAAGTGAGCTAACTGGCCATCACTATATATGGATCCAAACGCATGGCCTTGGTGTTATTACACCACACTCTCCCGAGTGAGCCATGGGCCAGCCCTCCAAAATAAATTTTTTTTTTTTGTCTTTTTCCATGTCCGGCAACGGATCGCAACCCTCGGTGTTGCCCCCGTACCGGACCGGGACCGGCAACGGGATCGCAACCCTCGGTGTTGCCCCCCGCGCCTCGCTCAGCCAGTGAGCAGGAACCGGTCTGTATGTGGGATCCGAACCCTCGGCGGTAGCGCCTCCGCACTTCCCCAAGTGGCGCACTAGCGCAGTGCGCCACCGGGCCGGCCCCTACACATCTACTATTTTAATGAAATAAATATTCATCTAAAATTAAATGGAAAGAATATATATAACATCCAATCTACTAAAAGGAAAAAGTGAACAACAAATAAAATTACTGAAAAAAAGAACAAATGGCTAAAATAATTGTAATTAAATTATAAAATTACCAGAATACATATAAACATATCAGTAGCAACACAAATGTGACTGGGCCAGGACTAACACAAAATGAACAAAAATATGAGAAACTAACATGGAAAAGACAAACTAGGTAATACTAAAATCAATGAAACAGAATTCAAGTTAAGGAGCGTAAAAGAGAATGAAGGACGGCGTTTTTATTGATGAAAGGTCTATGAGACAGATGTGTCATGAATCTTTAAACAACAAACAATACAAAAAATAAAAACTGAAGTTGTGAACTATTCATAGATGAAAAGTAAAGAGATTACTAGATATCAAAAGTGAGGAATGTAGCCAAAAACTATACTCAGAGAAAAAAAGTATGACCTTAAATGCCAGAACAAGCAGCTTCAAGATTTGGGGCACTTGTAGTAGTCGCAGCGGACAGGTGCCAGTCTCATGGGCTGTGCAATATTTGAACATCACCAGTAGGTAACAGCAGAGGCATGTCAGGCGACTCTTCACTAACTTACATGAGACACCACCTAAGGATTCATGGAATTGAGGTGGTATAACTTTACACTGGACCTTGAGGTCCTGTGTCAACAGCTGGGGCAAGGACCAGCATAATTTTACTGGTTATTGATACTGTGACCTCATCTGTATGTACAAGTAAGTAAAATTGAGGTAAAGACTTACCTCTTGGCAATCTCCCTGAATGCAAAGGACTGACATCAGTGACTCCATGAGGGTAGATGTTGTATGGACGGCTTGCTTGATTCTTAAACATGATCTGAAAGTATAAATAAGATATAAGATCAAGTCCTAAAACAACTAGGAGCAACAAGAAAACTGTGGCCTATCTCCAGAAAAACAAAATCTGCCTGTATCCACATTATAGGAGTCGAGCCTAGAAAGAGCTGAAAATATTTGTTCTTTTCATGAAATTACTCAGACAGCTATTTAGGTTTCTTGCTAGAGGTAGTGAGACCTGTCGACTTTGTGTTATTCTGACCTAACACAGAATTTCTGAGTTTCAACGGTTACTATAAGTTTTTTGGCATATCTTTATCAAGATAATTATTCCCTTGTAATCCCAATTGCCTGTGACTTTTCATTATTAATGGATATTAAATTTTGCCAGATGCTTTTTCTGAAGCTGTTCAGATTATCAGATGATATTTTTCCCTTTCATGTGTTAATATAATGGATTACCACATTTAATTTTCTTAAACTAAGCAAGTACTCCTGGGATAAATCAACTTGGTCATAATGTATTATCTTTTTTATATATATGGATGTATTGGATTTATAAAATTTTATTTAGGATTTTTGAACCCATTTTTACAATACAATTGTTCTGTGATTTTAATTTTTCTTTCTCACACTGTCCTGATCAGGTTTACAAACAATGTTGTGTTAGACTAATAACATGAATTGGTGGGTTTCCTTTTTTCTTATACTCCACATATTTTAAAATTTAATATAAAATTATTTCTTGAACATTAGTATAAATTATAAATTGCGAGTAAAATGGCAATTCTTGTTACATTAATAGTTGCCTTGGGTTAAATGTCCCCCCAGAACTTAAGCTGCACTGTGACTGTTAAGAGGGTGGGCAATCCTATTATGGTTATTGAAAGGTGGGTCCTTGAAGAGGTGACTGGACTGTAGGACTGTGCAGTAGTGAGTGGATTAAAAATGGTGGTCAGGAGCGTGGTTCTGAGGGCTTTAAAAGAAGAGCACATGAGAGGTTAGTCTCCCTCTGCTTCCACCATCTTGAAGTGTGAGACCCTGGGTCACTGTCACCACCACCAGCTGTGTTCCTTGGACTTTGGACTTCCCAGCCTCAGAAATCGTAAACAGTAAATTTCATTTTCTTTATAAATCATCTAGTTCTGTGTATTTTGCTATAAGCAACAGAAACGGACTAATACAATAGCGATTCTCTTTCAGCACACTAAAGATATGATTTCATTGTATTCTGGCTTTCTTTGTTGCTCTAGAGAAATAAGCTGCAAGTCCATCATGGTGTGAGGAAGCCAAGCCGCATGGACAGGCCATGTGTAGGTGCTCTGCTTGGCAGTCCTATTCTTCAAGTCTTTCAGAATCTTTGTAGGACAAAACGTATCTTAAAGAGTTAAAGTACAAGTGACAAACTGAGAAAAATATTTGAAGGATAAATGACAATTTGCCAATATCCATAATGCGTAAAGGCCTTTTACAATATATAAGCAAAAGATGACCACCCAAATAGAAAATTAAACAAAACTTCCATGCAGACAATTCACAGAGGGAGTCATACAAGTAGCCAGCAAACAAAAGCAATGTACAATTTCACCTCTAACCAAGGCAATGCAAACGAAGACAGCATATAAATATTTTGCTTATCAAATTGGAAAAATTTCTGAAGGGTTGCAATATATGCTATTGACAATGGTGTGGGGAAAGGGGCACTTGTATACTTTTGGTGGGGAGTATAAATCAGCACACAATTGCTAAAAGTCAGTTTGGCTGTATGCACCAAACTCCACATGTAGGAACCAGTGTCCTTCACATTTGTGAGCAGCTGAAGTGATGCAACCTACCATCTACCTCCCAATTTCTTGCGAAGAAATTAAACCCTTATTTATTTAAACCACCACTCATTGAGTATTCTGTTACTTGCAGGTTAGGCATTCTTCATGCTGTACGTCAGGGGTTAGCAAACATTTTCTGAAAGGGTTTGATAGTAAATGTTTTAGGCTTTGTGGGCTGTATCCAGTCTCTACACCTGTCCCTCCCCCTCCCCAGCCCTTTCCCCTCCGTCTTCTTCCTCCTCTTTTTCCTCTTCCTCCTTTTCATCCTTCCCCCCTTCTTCTCCCTGTTTTCTCTGCAACCCTTTAAAAATGTAAAATCCCTTTTAAGCTCACAGCCTATTAAAAAGCAGGCCACGAGCCAAAGCCGGTTCAGAAGCCTGCGGACTCCTGTACTATATAATTAATGGAAGAAGTTCTGGAAGGATATGTATCAAATTCTAAGCAGTAAGTATTTCAAAGGGGTCATGGGTTTCGTTGGCGACATTAAATTTTTACTTTATATATTCATAATTCTAAAAGATTATGTCCATTGAAGACAAACCTGAATCATAAAGTATTTTAGAAACTCAAAACTTTCCAGACTTTTCCTTCTTACCCAACCTCAGGTTTTTTCCTTGACTTACCAACAGCGTGTCTCCAACTTCCCCATAAAGTAAAGGTCCCAGGATTCCCGACTCATCCTGCGCAGCTTCACGAGTCCTAAAGCTCTCGTCTGTGTACGCCACAAATCGGGCTTTTTTGTACTTTCTCCCAATCCGCTGAGGCCCGTTGTTCAAATACTGACTTCTATAACCGCTGTACGGGAGACAGACAGATGAGGGCTGGGGCGGAAACTTCTAGATAGACTAAAACCCAAACCTAAAACAGCTCATATCACTACTCTTCACAGTATATCTGTTTATATTATGATCATTAATGATCATGCTCAGATATTGAAATTCATTCAGATAAAAAATAAAGATACAATGATGGTTTAAAGGTGATTAAATTACAATTTTATAAGCTTATTTATCAAGAGTGAAAATAGAAGACTATTAATAGAAGAGTGAAAATAGAAGCTAAAAGCATAACACACATCACAGTATTCGGGTTTCTGTAACGCTGGTAGGGCTTACGTCGAAACTTGATGCGGAATTCTTAATGGCTTTGAAACAGCTCTTTTCCCAGTCACACGGTATTTATCCACCGACTGTGGGCACCACTGCTTGTCTTCAGCTGTAACTGTGCAACATCAGCAAGTGCGCTTTGTTTTGTTTTGTTTTTTTAATTTATTTTATTTATTGAATCAAAATTGATTATACATATTTCGGGGGTTGAACATTGAGATACATTGATCAAATCAATATTCCTAGCACACATATTGTTACAAATCGTAATTATTCTTTATGCCCCTTGTCCAATCTCTCCCCATCCCCCTCTCCCTCCTCTCCCCCCTCTAATTGCCCTAGACTTCTTCTCTCCCTCAGAAAGAGTAACGGTTACTCTGTTGATTTGTTTCCTAGATGATCTGTCCAATGCTGAGAGGTGTGATCAGGTCCCCCAATATTATCATAGAGCAGATGCTTCTTCTGTCACTTTGAAATGGGCTTTGTGGAGAGAGACATCCTCTGCTTTA